TTGATTTTGTGGGGTGGGACACTGTAGATGTGTATTAAGTCCATTTGTTCAAAAGCTTGGTTCAGTTCTAGTATTTCATTGTTTTTTGTTTTGTTTTGTTTTTGTCTAGATGACCTGTTTGTGACAGTGAGGTATTTAGGTTTCCCACTATAATTGTATTAGTGCTTATTTGGCTTTTAATGTCCCTTAATATTTGTTCTGTATAGCTGGGGGTATTAGTATTTGGTGTGTGTATATATATATTTTGTGTTGCGGGGGGTACTGGGGATTGAACTCGGGTCCTTGTGCTTTCAAGGCAGGCAGCAGAACCATTGAGCTAAATCCCTGGCCCTGGTACATATATATTTTTGATTTGGACTTTTCCTTTTAAAATGATTTGTGAATGCATTCTGAAAGATCCAGAAATACTTTTTGTTTCTAGCTTATTCGCCAGGGAGATACGGAATAATGCGTTATTTAGACCATGATTTCTTCAAGCGTTGGGAATAATTTTTTTTTTCTCTTATTGAGTTCATTGGTACATTTTAAGTATACAGTACAGTTACCTTCATTATTGGGATCTTGTACCTTTACATGACAGGTCTTGGTTCTCATTTTCTCCCCATACCCCTGTCCTCCCTTCACCCCCTCCTCCCTTCCCTATTTACAAATACTTTATTTCCATTTTTTCGTTTTCTCATATTTTAATAATTTCTTTTTTGTATTAGCATTCCTTTACATTATTAAGAACAAAAAAGCAGGTAGTGTCATCATCATTGTACAGATGGCTAATAGGAAATGTTAGGAAGCTAAAAATAAATTACTTAGAATATTTCACTTGCATTCTATTATAAAACAAGCTATATTTCATACAGTACATATTCATTCTGATTCAAAGTAGGAACACTCAGCACAAAGTAAAATAAACAGAGGTTGAATTACTCTGAGAGGAATGGGGTACCGTGAATTTGTCGTTAATATGTGCACATAGATCTTACCAGTCAAGATTTATTGTGGTTGCATATGTTGAATTGATGTAATTAAGAGCTGTTTTCTGTGTTTAATTTGAATGTACTTCTTCCTTTTGGTTTTTATATGGAAGACAAATTTTCAGTTGGAAGGAAATTAATCGGTTACCAAAAAGGCCACAGCACAAGTAAAACAGGGACAGAGTAGGTATAAGGGAAAACCCTTATGTTATAAAAGAAGTTGTTGCTTTGACAGTGCTTATTCAAAGAACAATAGTACTGGAAAAGTTACAGTCCTGCTGCGTCCTCCATCTCTGGTGAGATGTGCCACTAAGCTGAGTTGCACACAGCAGGCTCAGGGTGGGTACTCACCTAGTCTGAGACCTGAGCAAGACTGAGCACGTGGCACTGCCTTCTGTGTCGTGGTACTCCCTGGGTCATTTTCTGTGGTTGTGATCAGGCAGTCACTTCTTTTTGTTGGTGGGCTTTGGGGGGTCTCTTTTGGTGGGTGGGGGTGAGCAAAAGCCATAGGAAGAAAAATATGATGTATGTGTCCAGAGTGTACTATTTTGTTTTTGTTTTGCAAGAAGATTTAACTATTTTTGATGATAAGAGTAAATGGTGGAAATGAAAAAAAAAAGATTTTTATCAATTAAAATTTGCTCACTGACTTGAAACCAGAGAATTCCAAAGCTTGTGCTAGCTCCTAAACATGTGAGAGGAAGCCTGGAGAACACCACAGTGCTGATGAGGCCGCAGAGAAGAGGACTTGCAGGCGAAGGGTTGGCGCGCTCAGGAGCTAAGGGAGGTGGCGGCAGGGATGAAGAGGCAGTGTGGTAGAAACACTGTAGGAAGGACCAGGTGTGGGATCAGTGAGGGCCTGGGTGTGGGGTGAGGCAGACCGTGCCGTCAGTAATGCAGTGACTGAAGTCGACCCAGGACCGTCTCAGTCTGTCCCTCCACAGACTGCCTGCGTGGCCCAGTTTTAGCATTCAGAGGTGTCTCCTTCAGTGCTACGTCTGTGTGTTCAGCCTGAAGACACCTGCTGGGAGTTTCTCACCTCAGCTCATATTTCAAATAATAGTGCTTTCATGCCTGTTCTCTTTATGTTTCTTCTGGCAGAACCTTAGGAAGATACAGGAAATGGACCAGAGCGATGAGTCCCATACCGACCTGGAGGAGCTGAAGAATGCGGACTGGGTGAGGTGCCAGTGCCCTGCCCAGCACGCCTGCCTCACAAGTACAAGGTCCTGAGTTCAATCCCGGATACCGGAAAAAACAAACACAAAAAACAAGAATAAAACAACCCAAAAAACTTTAGCAGATTGTATAGTAGAACTGTAATTTCTTACTAGAATTT